CTGCTGTCTAGCGATTCAGGCTCCTTGAAACGGTTCGTGATGAAGTTAAAAGGGAAACTCCAACCCGAGAGACGGAAACTCTCATCTCTCGAACAACTTGAGGCTTTTGAGCATTAAACAAACTTCGTATGGCTTGCGAGATAATAAATGGGCTCATTCCTAATGTTATACTTCCGGCGGGGTTGTAGACATATAATCTGACCCAGCTTAGTCGAAAATTATCACTAATTCCCATGGGAAATGAGATGATTAAACCATTAGGAGAGTAACTAAAATCATAGTTGGAAGTTTCCCAAGTTTACAAAAATCACTTTTTGCTTGTTATGTAAAGATTATTCATAATGATAGAAGAGATACAAATACAAAATTGATGATAAATATGTACCGTGTGAATTTACTAAAAAACGTTGAGCCTATAAAAAGTAGCCACAAAATTATACCGGGAAAATCGACAAGTCGTTAGTAATAAACAAATATTACAATTTGAAATTTAACGAACTGTAATGGATTTATAAAAATAAAGTCTACCACAATTGCTGTAGGTGGTTTCATGAATTACTGACTAAATGTTGCCCTCCTTTATTTATTTGTTGTCCCTGTAATACGTTTTTGGCAAAACCGTTGTAAAATGGATGGTTTTTAACTTTTTGTATTATTTATTGAGATTTATTGAAATATGGGTTCTTTACTGAAATATACTATAGTGTTGAAACATCGTATTTGTCGCACATTCATTTTTTCGCGATTTCTTCGGAAACCGCACGTCTCTGTTTGCTTTGACTGCCCGCTCTCGTCAGTCGAAATTGCAACAAACGTGGCAACCTTATCACGAAAGGTTTTTTTTCCAGCTATTGGAAATACATTAAAAGGATCATCATGTCGCCACCTCTGCCGGGACGGGTATTGATTTACGTTTACCTTCTCTTAGTCGATAATGTTATTGTTATCATGGCTCACGGTGCACAACGCGTCGACGACCTGCAATCAACAAAAAGAGAAATTTATACTTTATTAATTATCACGTTACGATAGTGAAGATAGCGTGAGCGAATAATCCAATTTCGAGCCTTTTTTTATGAAAAGAAACGTTCACAGTGTTGATGCACAATGACAAATAATGATTGTATTCATTCAAGGACCCATCAACCTTTAGCAATTCATTCTCCTCAAACACAGTTATTTGGCTGTCATACATATCATCATATTCATACATGATTTCAAAAAGAAAGACTTAATAAAACATGATTCTTCAAATTTTGACATAATTTAAACTTTGGTAGTTTCGACCTTCCACATCTATCTGCTTCAGCATTTTGTCAAGTTCAGTGGTTGGTTTGTGTTATTTTCACAAGAGTTCTATTCTCAAGAAGATTTGAACATATCTTAATAATTACAATTAATTAAGGTTTTTAGTTGAGATGAAAAAAAGTTAATGGCTCGAGAGGGATTCGAACCCACGACCTTCGGCTAGATACGCCGCTGCTCTACCACCTGAGCTATCGTGACCTCGATCCTCTCGGACATCAACTCCCCATCTCAACCCCACCTTATGAGTTTTCCTCCTTTTGCCATTTTTCATCTCAACTAAAAACCTTAATTAATTGTAATGATTTAATTGGTCAAGCGGACCACGAAATTAGTGAACATCTTAATAATTTTGAAATGTTAAAATCCGGCGCACAGTTCTTTAGTTTTGCCATACCAGCCGATCTTGCTGGTTTAGCATACCTCAATGGAAGTTACACAGATTAGTTTAGTTTTCCTTTATCCTCAAGTTAAAATTTTGGAACTTGGAGTAAATATATATTATACTTTTCTGGAAGTCGGAATTTTAATAAATATAACACATAAAATAACACGAATGCATACATAAGAAGGCGAAATGCATAATGTTGGATAAAAGGTTCTTCGATCCCGATTAGGTCATCTAATATTGACTGGATAGAAAAAAAAACTTAATGTAACGATACATTGCAATTGTATAAAAAGATTAACGAAACTATTAACAAAATGGCCAAATTTTAAGACAGACGGGACCAGAAAAGTAGGTTGAAGTGTGTCCAAAGGAAGTTTATGTAAGGTGAAGAAGAAGTAAGAATTGGAGACGGCGAAGAACCCCGGAGTTGCTTCTTCTTCGCTCGTTGAGTAGAACTTGGTAAAAGACTATTTGTAGAAATGATAAATCTACCTCCCATTTTAAAAATGTACATAAATAATATCGAACATCCAAATAATTAAACTAATTATTTTAATTGTTATTATTTTTATAGTAATTTAATAATATTAAGTATTTACTAGTATAATATTTATTTCTGTTATAATTTCCGCGTTTTGCACGTTCAAATTGAGCGCCATTAAAAAAATGGGCTGCTAATTGGAACGTCGCGTTGGCGAAGGTATCAGCGGGTTCACTTTGGCAATTCATGTCGAGAGACGTGGTTGTAGAAGTCCTTCAACCTGATGATGAGCTAAAAGACTCGAAATCCGGATCATTGCAAAACAACTTACTGTGAGTAGGAATTATCCTTTTAAAAAGGATTAAGACTATTTGTTGTTTCCCAAAATTGAGATTGATACCCGCCAATGGTTTCCAGATATTTATAGTAACTTGGAACGATTAGAATGGCCCCGAGTTGGAGTTGACAAAAAATAACCATGCCTATGCACTAGCGGCACTTAACAATTGGTTCAAATGAGCTCTTGTTAAAAAATTTCAGCACCTTTGAGTTCCAAAAAGCCTCCGTAAGGCCTAGTTGTCGGAAGAATTGAATCAAAACTGGTATCCGCTAGACTATTTAGTTATAGCGGAAATTACAAAATTACTTGCAAACATATTAAAAAACTGGATAAATTCCTGGTGCAGTATAAACAAAACTGGGTTCCGCTTGTCTATCCAGGTATGGCTCCGGGAAGGTGGCCAAAATCATAAAAAACTTCAGTTCAGGATGACAGTCCAGGGTCATCGGAAAAGGCCAAACTACAAACTAGTATATATAATATCGGAAGAAAATTTTAAAAATGAAAGGATTTATAAATGCTTACAGAAAACGTGCATTTGTAGAAGAGATAAAGGGTGGAGTGAGTGTTGTTCAATCTTTTTAAAAAGAATGTCTATCTGTTATGTGTGTGCACGCGCGCGCGAGTACGATTTATGCTGAAAAGCAATTAAAACATCATAAGATCGTACACGTTCTCTAAATTATGATACATGTATTTCTGAAGACCGTCATGATGTTTTAGCTTGAAATGAATATGTGCAGGATTATTTTCTGCCAATTAATTTTTTTTTAATGTTTGGCATATTGTTGTGAGTAAACCTATATGCGAAATGACTCTTCTTTTTAAATCAATGATTCAACAGCAGCAAAAACAAGTAGAAAAACCGCTCTTCAAAAGGCTATCAACTTCTCAAACGCATGCAGATTACTCTACGATTTAAGTAAGAAATTAATGTGTGGTGATTAGTGACCGTTAATCGATATTTATTTAGACACGACACGACACGCAAGAATGGCACAATTACACAGAAGACAAATATTTTGAGCCCTGAAGATGATCTCAATAAAGATCGAAACGTTGGCACGATAAAGAAAATATTTTTCTGAAACCTACATCACACCAGACCGCATCTCACGATTTCTAAATAAATAAGAAATTAATATCGAATTCCTACGTTATTTAATTTATTCATCATTAACTGATTTGCAAGAAACCTTTACCATTGTTGCTATTATATGAAAACAACAATATGACCAAAGGCTATTTAAATACGTACGTATTTTTATTGTAATAGAATCGCAGTTAATTTTCTAGTACATAAACCACTTGTTAAATTGCTGTTTTGTGAAAAAATATCGTTCAATTTTTTATAGTTTATTTAAAAAGCGGGCTTGTTTTGTCCTTTTGTTTTAAAAAAGAAATACGGACACAACGGTCTGATGGAGCGAGGTCAGGGCCGTATTGTAAACGAAGAAGTTTGCATTTTAGTTAAATAAGTCCAACGTGAAATGTGTGGTACTCTGCGATGTCAATTTTTTCGTGTCAGACCTAAGCGCAAATGGTACTTTTTCAAGTTGGCCTGAATAGAATTCCCAATTTATCACTTGCCTTTCAGGAACTAAATCAAATAATTCATGTCTTTGAAATTTCACAAAAAATACGTTATCTTTTTGAGAAAACCTGTTCTCCGTTGGGCAGAAAGAACTAGTGTAAATAAAATACTGAAAAAGATGAATATAATAAAAACTGTATTAAATTTAATATAGCTTTAAAAAAGGCAAATATACAACTATGAGAAGATAACATTGTAATTAACAATCATTATTTAATATATTTGCTTCGTGTTGTTTATTTCATTTTTCTTCTAATCTAAGGATTTTTGGGTCAGAGGTAGAACTATCCCATTAAGAAACGACCAGAAACCAATCTCTCTTTTTTTCTCTCTCTTTCTCTCTCACACACACACAGAATTGTCATATTTTCCTGTGGACCTGGTTTGCTGAGAGGACAATTCTCGCCGCTTCACCATTGTCTACTTTCGCATACGTTATTATAATTTTGATTAATAAATAGCAACGTTATAACTCTTCACTACTTCACATTGTGACCAAATTCTATCTCTTAAACTGTGGGAGGATATTTAGATTTTGTACAAAAAATATGAAGTAATCTTTTACCTGTACAGTATACAATTGCTGTTTTTTTAAATTTGTTTTATTTATTTATATTTTTATATTTTTTTTAACGAGGGTTCGCAACAGCAGAGGTCATGTAAATCCTCAGGGTGCCGGTGTTTTTGAAAAAATGCCCAATTTGTAAGTAAGTCGGGTTCGAATGCAGAGCCGCTGGATTTGAACCCGAGACCTTTACCTTACAGTGATGAGCGCCGTGTCAATGCCTAAACCGTTGCGGCCACCGACGCCCCTTACAATTGTTGTTGGTTTAAGAAGCAGCATACAAACATATATACTTATATTTAGTTTATTAATGGGAGAACTCACCCCGTGCTCTAGGTTTGGTCTGAAGGTGTAAAATTATATTGTCGTAAGCGGCTTCCGACGCGACGCCTGAGTCCTTGACAAGCTTCTCCTTCACGGCAATACAGATGTCGTTCTTGCTTAGAAGAACCTCAAGTTCTTCAAATGCCTAAAAAAGAAATGTTAAATATTAAGCCCAATTGTCAAGGTTAAAATGACAAAAATAGATAGATAGATAGTTGTTCAAAAATACTTTATGTACACAATTTTGTTCTTTGAATCTTATTTACAAAAGTACGTTCGATATGGAATTATTACCTTTTGTCGGACTCTTAACAAAATTTCAAAATAAGGGTTGTATATAAATTACATAAGTGACTGTTTAAAAAAAACCAATAAAAATACGAAAAATAAATAAAAACCTAAACAAAGTAGAACTTTTTAGAGAATGTAATTAATTGAAACAGTCAGTCCAACACAATTTAATTTACTTCTGTTGCGGTATTATCTAACATTGAACAAAGTCGGGCATTTTGTTGGGAACATTGGTCTGAGTGCGGCCCCAATAAAGTCCAATTTACGAATTTCGCCCATGAACGTGCATTCTGCAACAAAATGGAGATTCTGTACAGCACTATTGAAGCGATTCACAGAATTCATCTGTATTTAGACCAACATCGAAGGATTAATGGCATCTTTATTCAAATATTTGTTATTAGGGAGAACTGACCGTAAATCAACTTACCATTTAATAAGAGATACGATAAAACATTTTTGTCAACTGTTCATATTCCCAAGATAGTAAATGCCACAGTTTAATTTACCATTTAGTAAAACATTTAGTTCATAAAAGTACAGATAATTTGAAAAAAAATCTGGGTGTTTGATATTTTTTCTTTGGGTGTATCCTATAGGTAGGAACTAAAAATACTCACATACCGTGTTTATATATTGTCAGTTGTATTAAATAAATTTATTATAATTATAACTAATGACCTAAAGTAAACGATAAACATTCAGTACTAGGAAAGAATGTCTAATAAAGCTACCTTCGAAAAGATTGATTTATTCAAGTAACAGTGTAAATATTGGGCGTTTAAATTTTTGAATAATTTGACCAATAACATAATTTCTCTATTCCAAAAAATACGTGAGAGGAAAATTAACGACCTCACTACTGGGGCATTTTATGCTTGTAACGATATGAGCCTATCTTTCATAGTATCTTAAATTTACATTTCTTTACAAAACTACATTCCCATAAAATATGTATTTAAATTTGTGAAAATAACATTTTTTCTTTTTTTTTAAATTTACATTATATTCATTTACCTTCTGTTTGTAACGTTTGGCTACGTAATAAACTTTCTTAAATAATACAATATTATATTTATATTAATTAAATGCTTGCTTTAAAATATTAAAAACCTTTGCTAAAGAACTGCAAATTTTAAAGTAATAAACTTAATTTGATTTGAAGGGTACATGAATGAATTACATGAAAAGATAGTGAAATGAAAGATTAGCTAGATAGTCTACTACCAGAGCGATCGTGAGAGAGATAGTGTGTATATCTATGAGTGAGAGAGAGAGAGTGATAAAGAAAGAGAGAGAGAGAGAGAGAGAGAGAGAGAGAGAGAGAAAGACAGAGAGAGAAATAGATAGATAGATAGATAGATAGATAGATAGATAGATAGATAGATAGATAGATATAGAGAGAGAGAGAAAAAGAGAATGAGAAAGAGGGAGGGGGAGAAGGAGAGTGAAAGGGAAAGAGAGAAAGAGCGAGACTGAAGACAGATAGATAAAGAAAAAGAGACAGAAACAGAAAAAGGCAAAGAGAGAGAGTGAAAGTGAGAAACGGGAGAGATAAACAAGCAAATTGATAACGAAAAAAAACAGAAGAGAGAAAAATAAATAGATAGATGGAGAGAGAATGAGTGAAAGACGTGCAGACAGATAAAGAAAAAAGTCAGAAACAGAAAGAGACTGAAGGATAGACAGAGAGAGAGAGAGAGAGAGAGAGAGAGAGAGAGCGAGAGAGAGAGCGAGAGAGAGAAATAGAGAGACAGAGTTGAGGGAGAGAGAAAGCGAGCGAGACAAGCAGACAGGTAAAGAAAAAAGTCAGAAAGAGAAAGAGGGAATATAAGAGAGAGAAATAAAAAATAGAGATAACTGGAGAAAAATGGAGAATAAGAGAGATACAGAAAGATTGAAGAACGAGAATTTGAAAGAGAGAGAGAGAGAGAGAGAGATAAGTCGATAGATATATTGAGATAAAGCAAGAGCGAGAGGGAGAGAGTGAGAGAGAAAAGAAGGGAGAGATCAATTAAATTTTATAAATATTCGGTTTCCTTGAGTATGCGTCAGTAATAATCCATATTCTTATCAATATGGTATATTTCAATTCTTATCAATTCTTATCAATATCTTCAGTATATTTATCACACAATGGAAAAAATATATATGAAGGTTTATTTCCAATTATACAGGCCTCGTAGACATAATAAATTTTAACACCGAGTAAAAGGAGTCGTTAAACGTTAATATTGAAGTACTAAAACGCGACTGAAAACTCTGCTTGTAAAATTAAGCGTTCTATAAAACCGAACGCGATCGTTTTTTCCTCATCAAAACGATCGGTATATGTGGATAATATTGACCTCTGTTATCACCTACACCCTCCATTTTATTTACAACCACGGCAGAGCCTAGGCGTAAAAATCCAAGAGCGATGAGATTGGTCGAGAGAGTCCCTCGAGGCTCTGACGCACCGTAAATAAAATGAAGCACTATATATAATTTTGTCTCGATTCTATACGTTAACAGGTACGTATTTATGGGCTTAATCTGGTTTATTGTTATTGGCTTATAAAATTGTTTGCCGATATGTAGCTATCCAGAGCACAAGCAAATACGATCGAGTTGCAAAACTTCTATATCAAAAACAAGTTGAATTGATTTTAATGTCTCTGATTTATTTTTGGTGTTTGAATCCCGATCAAAGACGTTTGCGATCATCATAAATAATAATAACAATGAGTACGCAAACTTAATTAAAAATATGTAAAAGAAATTTACTTTAAACACTTGTCTTTGTTACTGAAAATAAAAGGAAAAACATTGAAAATAATCTATATTTATTTGATTGTTCAACGAATCACTTATTTTGCTCATTTGTTTGATAATTGCGCACGTACTTTTCACTACCTTATCTATTCAAAATGTCAGCTTCTTAAGTATTGTTTATTTTTGTAATTTTTCTTGTGACCTTTGATAATTATATTTCTGGAGTTTGGTGCTAATAACTGCTCACTGGTTTTGAATATTAACTCTCTGTTACATATTTTAGTGCCCCAATTTGGTAGTTTGGATGGCTGTGTTGACTTATGTTGATATGCAGCGCTGAATGCATTAGTTTGGCCATATGTGCCAGATGTTGATGGTTTAGCTTACTCTCACAGTCGTAAATACTCCGTTTCATTCACACCCTCTCTCTCTTGTCCCTTTTCTATCTATCTGTTTGTCTCTGTTTCTTTCTGCTCATGATTTCCTTACGGTATAGGTTTTTAGTATTTAAAGCACAAAAATTTAAAACGCTTTAACGGCAAAAATTCTCTTTTTTTTTTATAAAAATTAAATTTAGAATAAGCAAACAAACTAAAGATATAAGTAATGTGTGGTGATTAGTGACCGTTAATCGATATTTATTTATTTAGAAATCGTGAGATGCGGTCTGGTGTGATGTAGCTTTCAGAAAAACATTTTCTTTATCGTGCCAACGTTTCGATCTTTATTGAGATCATCTTCAGGGCTCAAATTGTTTGTCTTCTGTGTAATTGTGCCATTCTTACGTGTCGTGTCGAGAGGGGCACTCGACTTTGAGTAATTGATTTCTAAGTAAGTACGAAGTATCCTAGGCCCCATCCTCCAGACCATCAACACTGTTGTCATACCGACACTTCCAACCACCAAAAACTTCCACACGACGCGGATGACATCGCAATCTTACCAATACCACACCAATCCTATCCTAGCCACAGAAGCAATCCAACAACATTTGAACATCATCAACTGGCCCACTCGGCGGCGGATCAGGTGTACGAGCCAAAGTTACGTTTACTCTCAAACCTCAAACTTACATACCAGTGAACACGAAGAAGCTGATACCGCCATCCAACTAAGTCCGCTACCTTGGGCTTAGAAAGTAAAGCTACATGGAACCCATATACAAAATAAAAATGTCAAGAACATATCAAAAGTTACACCAATCGTACAATACAAACTAACCCCTTACAAAACACCCATCAGACCGATTTGGACTTAAGGAGTCGAACTGTGAGGCTCGGTCAAATTCCATAACATCCAACGAATTCAATCCTTTCAATCTAAAGTTCTCCCTCCCATTCTACAACGCTCCCTGTTACGTCCCTAATCAAACTATCCCAAAAGACATTAACATCCTATTCGTGAAGGACTTATTCAAACGAGGTCTGTCAATTTTCACTCTAAGTATCCCTCCATCCCAACCCACTAGCCCAAATACTTTCCTCGAGGTCCTACCTACATCCTCTCGCCGTTCAAAACGACGGTGGCTTCTCCTGACATTCTATCCTAAAACACCCAATAAAATAATTGAGAGTTCCAGGACTGGCGGGTTTCTGTCCTCACTGCCTCCTGGTCTGACAACTGTACAATGTGCTTTATGTATATTTTTTACACATAGCAGTAAATTAGTTAAAATTGAAAATTTATATCGCCTATAAACATCCGTTCCACTGCGAGTATTTATTTATAAACTGCTCCTGGCGCGTAACCTAATCTTTCTCTCGACGTTTATAGTACAGGACCTCTCAAAACAGGTTGGGCTTCAGTCCTACACCTGAACAATCGAATGACCTGTAAATTCACTACTATGTTGTGCTCTGCAACGCTCCTGAAACAGCATGTCCTCCAAACACAAAATCAGTGTTTTTTTTTTTCAGGAACTTCTTGCCCTCCATATAAATGCCTAGTACCTCATAAGCTACATGGAACCCCTGATCATCCGGGTTACTCAAGAGCACGGGGCACTTTGGACGACGTTAGACCAGCTGAACTATCGATTGACGTGAGTGATGTTACAGTCTCTCCCACACAGGCGTACTGTCTAACGCCTAGTACTATAGTTACTCTCTTAGGCGAAGCTACGTGTTTTCTACTCATTAATTGCAAGCGGATCTTACGGACCCCAAAAATAACTTGAAAGTCGTACGTTCCAGTTGGCTGCCCCTTAAGGACGGGAACAACAGACCACTACGGAAACCATTCCCATCGAGCAAGTCGACGGGCTTAGAACGAGGAAAGCAGTGTTGAGAGTTCCACAACCATGGAATAGTTGCTTCCAATGGTGGTCGGTCTTCTCTACGTAGTGGCGAGGCCGCCTTGGCCGCCAATGCTTGCTACTTACAGCATTTGAGGCCGTAATGCCCCACTTCTTCCTCTACTTTTTACTAGACTAGCATTATAAGATAAGCATTGTCACATTTAGTCACCTATATTATTACATAAATATAAATTATAAAACAAAAAGTTATTATTATAGATTTCATTTTTCAAAAATCGGGTCTAAAAAGAAATGACACGGCGGTTCACAATTTTTTGTGTTTTCTACAATTTTGCATAATGATTACTACCAGTTATTAAGCTGCATATTAATACAGGTTGAAAAACGTAAATTGCATTCATTTAATTTTTAAACACAATTTATGCTAACGTAAATAAAAAGAAAACCTTAAATAATCTTAATAGGTAACTAAATTTCAAATTAGTCTCAGCGAAGATTAAATTTATCTGATATGCAATTTTAATTACTTGTGCAAAGAAATTTCTTAATGCACTGTTGTTGTTTTTTTCAGTATTTATTTGCATTGTACTGAACGACTTAGAAGTTATATAAGTTGGTTAAAAGAGATAGCACCAATAAGTGAACAATATCATAAAATATCTATTTAAAGGCTTTATGGAAACATTTACAGGCAGAATAATCTAAGTGAATTTTGCTTAACAGAAAACCTATTGGTACTTCCCTAATAAAACCGTTTAAGACCAAAATGGTTTCGTGGAAACCAACCGATACTCATGGCTCCAAGAGACGACATGAACAGGATTTTTGAATTTAACCAAAACTTCCGAATAAACCTGGGTACCAAAAAAGAATGGGAAAGAGAGGGAAACAACTCTTTTAAAAATGGCACTATCCTTTAGTACACATTTGGATCTAGAACACAAGAAGGTACAGGAGCAGGAATATTTGGACCTGAAACCAAATACTCAGAACCTATGGGAAAATACGCTAGTATCTTCCAAGTTGAGATTCATGCAATCTAAAGATGTACCCAACTCAACCTAAGTAAAGGGTACAAAAACGAGAATATAGCTATCATGTCAGATAGCCAAGCAGCCATAAAAGAACTAAGTTGAAATATCATTAGTAAAACCAAACTAAATATATGAGGTATGCAGAATAAAGTCAGCCTCTGCTGGGTCCCAGGACACATGGGAGTAGAAGGCAACAAGAAAGCGGACACCCTTGCAAGGAAAGGGCTGCTACACCGCTGATAGGACCTGAAACCTTCTGTGGTCCACACTATATCTCAGACAGAAGGACAAAAAGAAAATTAGGGAACTTTGGAATTCACTCACTGGACACAGACAACCCAAGAATCTTCTAATCAATTTTGGTAGGAAAGAAATTACAGATTGTGTTAAAGGAAGCAGGAACAAACTAACAGGGCACTGCAAATTAAATGGACACTTAAAAAAAATTGGAACAATCCAAGATGGCACATACAGATTTTGCAAGGAGGCAGAAGAGACACCAACACATTTACTAACTAACTGCGGAGCTACAGTAGCCCGCAGGAGGAAATGTTTTGGGATATATAATGTGACCATAGAAGAACTACAACCACTGAAACCGGGACTATTAATCAAGTTTCTTGATGAAATAGGACTCACTGATGTCCTTTAGGCAGAGCACGGGGGATACAATAGTTCTTAAAGGGCGCAGTATACCATACCCTGAAATTACATCTACATGGTCTCGGGGATAAATACGGGGACCTTTGCGTAGAAAGGTCGTAAACTTCAATAAACATAGTCGCAATTATACATAAATTTTAAACTCTCCACATTTTCATCCGCACAAGCAATGTGTTTATTATGTTAGAAGCATCTCTACGTTGTTTTTTAAACGTTGATAAAAAAATTAAAATACGTCATTAAACTCACTTTTATTCCGTAGTTGGACTCTTCGTAAACTATGGAAACGTAGCTCCACCCGAACTTTTTGACGATCTCAACCATAGCTTTGACTTGGTAATGGTCAGATGGTATCGTTCTCGTAAAATATTCAAAGCGCTGTTTGTTGCTCAGTTCCGGGCTTGTTGACATATACGACACCTGAAAAAAATGGAAATATTATTAAACCTTCCTACATGGATTTAACCACATACATTCCCCCTATCGGTCCTATATCACGCTCCATAACCAGTCGGAGGAGCAAGGTCCTTTAGACAACATCGTTTATCCGGAACACATTGCACTGAAAACCTTTTACCTTAACCCTCTGCCATAACAGCGATAAGACGAGCATATACAGCTTTATGACTCGACTACATTATATGTCGTATATTGAAATAAACATTTTTTACCTTTCATTAATGTTACCAATTTATATTGTAGCTATGAAAGAAAAAGCAATGCAAATTAGCATATCGGACGGGAGAGGTTACGGTTTTATACACAGGAGTGGTTTTGTATGAGTTCCATTTTCGTAAAGTTTTAGTACCTTGTACGTTTAGCGGGAGAAGCTTTTTGTATTACATGTGTGGTTTTAGAGATGTAGCCATTTTCCTCCTGACCAAATCTGTACTCAGCTAAACTGTTCTTGGTTGAACACTCTCGTGTTATCAGGGATGAAAAGTTTATGTATGCATAAACATTTTATATTTGTGTGGTGTTTAAAGACCGTTAGTTAATGATTATTCGGAGATCGTGAGATGCGGTCTGGTGTGACGTAGGTTTTAGATTTATAAACATTGTTCAAATTTGACAAATACATGTAGGATGTGGGAAAAAATGAATATATACAGTGCTTTTTTTCCTCATCCTGTATTTATAAAATTTGCTCAATACGCCTTGCTCTAACCATTTCAGCTATCATGATTTCGATTCAATCGGACGCCAAAAAAAGATTAATTAATAGAAAGAAGTAATTTGGTCAATAGACCACTAAATCCCAGGCCCTGACGATGATCTCAATAAAGGTCGAAACGTTGGCACGACAAAGAAAATGTTTTTCTAAAATATACGTCATACCAGACCGCATATCACGAATCTACAAATAATCAATTTGTATTTAATCCAAAATTAACTGCTATTTGCGATTTCAAAACATATTTTCCAAGAAAAATCATTAAAACGGGCAAATCCCATTTACATCTCCGGAATTCAAACCCAAACAAGCAAATAAAACTGGCCATACATTTGATACTAAAACTCGCTTTTGTTATTTGTATTTTCCTCTGATTGACAAAATATTATAGCCGACAATCTAAAGAAAAATCGTACAAAAGGAACACGAGAAAATATCCAACGAGTACTTATGGAGCAATACAAACCGTAGAATAAGAGCTGTATTAAAACATTTAGTTCCATTATGATATCGGAAACGAGATCCCGCTTAGATTTGTCATTTTGTAAAGGACGATCCATTTCCTGATTAATCCTAACTTAAATCACATTTGATGAAAGTTAGATTCAGTTAAACTATTAAACTCTCAGTCGGAATTTGAGTGTGAATAAGATTTTATCCACTGACTTGTATGTGTACATTCGAAGATGTTTATAAACGTTATATTCCAATATAACAGTACACAAACAAATCAAATATAGTTTATAATAAATAAATATTTATGCAATTATTTTTTAAATACCCATATCACTTATTTTATTACATTTCAACTTCCTTTTAAAAAAATTTCTTGTATAACTGCATAAAAAATGTAACAAAAAAGTTATTTACAAAAGTACATACACAAATACATCCATACACAAAACTGTGATATAGAAAACGTGCGTAATTTTCCATTATGACATGAAGTGACAATCATAATTCAGGGGTGTCCTGTCAAACACAAGCGTCCCAACCTCCTGCGAGTGTTAGAAGAAAGGGTTGACCTGAAGGTTGCAAATTTAATGGAATCGAATAAAAGGATAGCTTGGTGTGATAGCTGTTGTAGAGATAATGAATGAGAGTTGGGACTTATGATGATGAACGGTTTGTGTGTTGAAATAAAATAAAATATTCACCATTGTGCGTCGGATTTTTTACTCTATGTATGAAATTATTAGTAAAATTCTTGTATATAGGTTCTCGTTTAGTCAATGTCCAATCAAATACATTGGCCAAACAAAACAGACAATAAAACATAGAATTTATGGTCATGTTTCTGATTGTGGCAATAAATTCAACAAACCATTCAATATCAAGTAGGCATAAATTTGATTTTTCGAATGTTCAAATAATTGACAGTCTCAATTACTCAGAATAATGATAAAAAAGGTTCTGCAAACAAAAATGGAAAACAATACGGATAACATTCAAACAGATACTATGGCTCAAGTTTAATTTTTGAGTCCTTATTAAAAAAAAAAAAAAAAGGTCCTTGGTAAAGAGAGGAGGTTGCAATACTGTTACAGTCCTTGGCAATGATGGGACTGAATCGATCTTCAAGAACATTTTATATCGCCTTTCCAAAAAAATACTTAAATATGTCAATCTATAGAAATAGTTAAGGTTGTTTTGTAAGTTCTATATAATTGTATTGATTGTTAAAGTAATTGTACAAATATTTTTCTCATAGTGTTAATTAATATAGGCCCCTAATGATGACCATAAAATAGATCGAAAGACATTAACAACTAAATTTGCATTCTTGTTCTTCTTCAAGAACCTTGACCCAGAGTGTTCATAAAAATGATTAATCTTCCCTTTTATGTATCAAACCTCAATCTACACCGATACCTTAATATTCCCTTTGTTTCCGATGTAGCGAAAAACTTTTACAAAATATTCCGTTAACCCTTTCCACGCCTTGGTTCCGTCGGCTCATATCCCACCAAGATGGCTGAGTTCCTTCCCACGATTCCCATGGCAATCGTTATATTCTTACAACACTTTTACTGTTTTGATTGCTTTATACTAAAAAATGTAATGGTTTATTAATTATTTATTTCTTTGGTTTGCCTTTGGGCATCCAGTAATTGTGCGAGTAGGTGAAACAATCAATAAATAATTACTACTTAACTTACTAAATTAGATATATAAATAAGTTAAATAAATAATATAATAGTATAAAAAACACACTAATAAATATAGATAAATAGACGAACTAACAAATATTTAACAAGAAACAGGTTAAAAAAACAACAAGTCGTCGTCAATGCCACGAGGAGGATGAGAAGTCGGGGAAAGCTCGGTCCACGTTTTCCTTTTTGAATTTTTCTTTGGGGTTTCCATTCCCATGGTTACAGGTGGATCAGGAGGTGTGAATGAAAATGTTCAAACTAATTTAATCACAAAAGCTTAATGATGTCGCCATGAAAAATTTCAAATCCCCCCACATTCTAGGGTCTCACTGCCCGATGCGTTGGAGAGTCAAGCCGGAACTCATGGCCAACAAAGGACTCAACGCAGGGACTTGGCCTTAAAAAGAGACACTGCGCCTTGTATTAAATATTAATATCAGTTTTGATGGGAGGAATAAATTATACACTTGGTCAGTTCAAGACACAATCAGACACTCCCTTCTGAGAAGGCTTGCTAACTCATGTTCGCTGCTATCCTTTCAAAAATAACTTTTCTCGTACACCAAGTAATCAAAGGCAGTGTCTTGATATATGACCGTTAGTTCACGATTATTCGGAGATCGTGAGATGCGGCCTGGTTTGACGTAGGTTTTAGAAAAAATATTTTCTCTATCGTGCCAACGTTTCGATCTTTATTAAGATCATCTTCAGGGCCTGGGATTTACAAACATTGTTTAAATTAGTCAAACACATGTAGGATGTGAAAAACAAAATTATACAATGCTAGAAATTTTAGATTCAATAAAGTATTTGCACTCGCTGTGTCTCAACACAACACACAAGAATGACACATGTACACAGAAAACAAACACTTTGAGTGAGTACAAAGACTTTGATTGAATCTAAAATTTCTAGCAGTTTATTAATTCATTTTATCACATCCTACATTGTACATTTGTATAATTATGTACATCATATTATTTATAACAATATTTATAATTCCCAGGCCATGAAGATGATCTCAATAAAAAATGTTGGCACGACAAAGAAAATGTTTTTCTAAAACTACTAGACCGCATCTCACGATCTCCAAGTAATGTGTTTAATTCCCTAATTTCGTGGTCCGCTTGACCAATTAATATATTACAATTAATTAAGGTTTTTAGTTGAGATAAAAAAGTCAATGGCACGAGCGGGATTTGAACCCACGATCTTCGGCTAGATACGCCGCTGCTCTACCACTTGAGCTATCGTGTCACTAACATCTCATCTCAACCCCACCATTTGAAGTTTCCCTCCTTTTTGCCATTTTTCAAATGTCGTGTAATCGGATTAGATTCTCGACGACAGTTAGTGTCCGAGTGGATCGAGGTCATGATAGCTCAAGTGGTAGAGCAGCGGCGTATCTAGCCGAAGATCGTGGGATTGAATCCCGCTCGTGCCATTGACTTTTTTATCTCAACTAAAAACCTTAATTAATTGTAATGTCTTTAATGTGCTCAGTCTCATCACATGAAGCATATAGATTAAGCTCTACGATTTAACCTGACAAAGTATGTTCCACTGATGTAGATTCTTTCTGATGCGAGATATTTTTGAAATTTGTTTAGCTTTTCCCGTTTTCCCTCTGTTGTACGATATACGCCAGTTCGTCAACCATTGTCGTTCAAAATGCGATTGGTGTAAGTTTTGGTCATTTTGATCATGGTGTCACCGTATTCGGCCGCTTGCTTGGCTTGTAGATGGATTATTATATTAATTTAATATTTATTTAATCGGTCCTTGCTAATATCGTAGTAACACTTTTTGGAATGATAGTGTACTAACTATTAGTTTGCATTTTGTTGATATACATGTTTATTTTGCTCCTCCTCTCACTTTATTACTATAATAAAACATTGTTCACTTTTATTCTATTCATATTTATAAAGCATCTGCGCCTTATGCTAAAACATCACACAATTCAATTCATTCAAATTTACAGTAAATTGTGAAATTAGGTCACTTATAATCTTTTAAATATAATTTGAAATTTGCTAATTTAAAATCAGATGTATTAGGATGTTTCCCTTGAATATGATTTAACT